AGGCACCTACCCGACATAAAAACCGAAAAACTTTCGAATAAACCAAAGTCTTTAGATGAACTCGTTTGTTCGCTACACAGCTGTGAGTTGAGTGGCAAGTGAAGAAACTTCATCTCACTAGGATAATTTCGACATTTTTACACTCACATTACTCAAGAAGAGAAGCAAGAAAGAAGAAGCATTACTCATTCTACAATATTAACAGAACCAGATTTACACGTTCGCCCTCATAACGAAGAGCTAATCCCTCCATATTCGTTTACTATAATACTCAACACAACTGCTACAGAATTAGGTTTAGCTTCACCTTTTAGGTCAGATAATTTAACAGGTATACAAATATTATACAATGCTGCTTTTTGTTGGATCACAGTGTTTCCACTAACATATATACAATGGCATTACTATGGCTGTTCAGCACAATAACTCTGCACGAGAATACGAATACTTATTTACAAATGAGGCGCGGGAAGAGGTAGTAGCACACCGTGTATTGAGGAAATCTCAGCACGAATGATCGCATTTGAGTTTACAGGGAGGAGAAGAGTGGGATCGTAATGGGAGAGGGGACCCGAACAAGATAATTCGGAGAGCATTCAAAAAGTTTGGGGTTTTTTTTACTATATATAATATATTGTTTCGTTCGATAGTTTGAGAGCTGGATGACAATGGGAGTAGAGGTGGGGTCACAGAAAGACTCAAGGTGGAAATGGAAAAGGGGTAGTGAGAAATTCCCTCACTCAGCGACGTGGCGTACTCTGAGAGCTAATCGATGTTCGTCTCCGGGCTATGAACGAGCACAATATGGGCGATGTGTGCGAAAGGGGATAAGAAAATAGTCAAGGGCCAAGTGGTAAATGACGGGACGACTCTCTTCAAAATACGTTTTTCAGCTCTCATGTACTAGGTGTGTGCTTCTTATACTTCATGAAATGGCAGCTAATGTGCTGCAAAAAGGGAAGGCTGCATCAGAGTCGAATGAATGGTGCTCATATGTTGGCGGTGATGATCAATGGACATTGAAATATTGCGATTGAGGATCGATCAGTAGGTACAGTAAGGGCCATATGAAGTTATCTTCAATCAGCTAATCGCTCGATCAACCATCATCTTCATTTCTCGCAAGCATTCACAAAGTGTATCGCGGAATCGGTGTGAGTCCTAAAAATACAGCAATATAAGAATTGCTAAAAATTAGCATTTTTCCCTACTGCTCCTAATTCTCTCTTCGCGCGAAGGAATCTGACTTCCTATATTTTATCCACAGTCAATTATGAATTAATTAGTAATGAGGGTTTCGCAAATCAAAGACGAAACTCAACGCCTTGTTTTTGTTGGACAACTATGTTTGCCCCACAGTCCAGTCACAGTGTCTTGTTTCCGCTGGATAACTAGTTTTGCGCTGCAGTCCGCGTTGCGAAAGTTATCACAAGAATGCTGAGTTGTTGAAAGTTTTGCACACTCAGCATTCTTGTGAAACTGGATATGTTTTTTTCTTGAAAAAATTAGAAATGGTAATAATAGCAGTGATTCAAAACAAACCGTATGGGGTAGCGATTTCCAGGATGTCACATGAAAGCTCATTATGTCACCGGTGGCACCAACGGTGTAGCATACTCCTGTAAAAGCTTGGCTTGGAATTTTTTGGAGCCTCAAGCTAAACCTTGACAACAATGTACCGTAATTCGATCCTTCCGGGCAGCTGAACGCTCCTGCAGGCCAGAATAAATCGCGCTCTTTGTTCAGCGATTTCATGTATTCGCTCATTTGGTGTTGTGGAGTCTGGAAAAGAAGGGGTTGAAAAAGATCTGATAAGCAGCTCAAAGGAGAATTTTCATAAAATAGTCTTTCTGAAAAATAGATCTTATTGACCGAATTGGAAACTGAATTAGTTTATCACAGGAAGTTACTTTCGTGGTCGGTGGTACACAAGTAAAGTAATGATACTGAGGCGATCAAGAGTGATGGTACCACTTCTTTCTCTTGAAAAAAGTGCTCATGTTTAACTTTGAAAGATATCTTTCTAGATGCATTAGACCTAAACGGTTCAAAAAGCCTGGAAGAAGCCATTAATTTTGAAATTGTAATAATTTACAGCTCAGAACCTCGCGGTTCTCAGCCGATGTTGGCTAGCCATCCTATCACGTTAGACGTGTGAGTGCTGAAAAGCTAAAATATACAGTCGAGATCCGAAAGTTGGGGTAGGCGTGTCACCGGAAGTGACGTGCACTTGATAGAAGTTGCGTGGATAAGCTGTTGCCAGCATGCTTTGCTGATATCCAGCGATGTATGTTGGAAGCAGCTTATCCACATAGATTCTATCAAGTACACGTCACTTCCGGTGACACGCCTACCCCAACTTACGGATCTCGAGTATACATCAAAAGCTGAGCTAAGGCGAATGGTGCATTTGTAGTGTAACGGTACAACTGCCCGTATGCAAGAGGTGAGGGTTGATCGAATCCCACTGTGACGAGGGTTATGCCCACTGTCCAGAAACCGAGCATAGGTAGCCAAGCCTACAGTGTTGATGTCGCGCGCATTTTTGCGATCTTGAAAGTGCGCGGACAAAGGCGCTGGAAGCTCGCTTCTCGACTGCAAACATCTCTTCTGTAGAGCAAACCCCTCTTCCGCCTGTGCTGCCGCGCGGGCGCTGTTTTTTGTTTGTATGAAAAAAAGCGGCCGCGGCGCACACGCGGAAGCGGCTTGCCTTGCATTCATTGTCGTTGACATTGCAGCAACGTGATGCTATCCTCGTGAAAAATGTCCAAAACCCCTTCCATCCGAGATCGAAATGCCCAAGCTGGCGTCTTGTTCGGCGCGTCATTGGGTTCTCATTTCTTTCATTTTGCTTTCCAGATCACTATGCCCCATCTATAGACTCCATGTAGCTCTCCACATCTATTTATTTCAACGCTTGCCTCAATAACCGAAAGGAATTAGTTAAGTGAGAAAAAACAATGCACGAAAAACAAGATGAAGACTCTCGACCGCTTCTGTATGTTCGAATACTTATATTAGTTAACTAATAAAGTAAACCAAAAAGGGCAGAAGGAGAATTCAACATCTGCCTGAAATGGAACGTTGGCAGATCTCATTCGCTGTCTACTAGATTGGAAAATATCCCCTGCACATCACCCCATTAGCACAAATCTTCGGTACTAATCCGAAGTAAGCCTACCAGGCGTGTGGCGACTAATGGCATAGAAAATGACGCGCTGGTTGGCCATATGTTTTTCTTCAGCGACAGCGTTCATTCTTTGCTTCCCCTGGCAACTCCTTCTTATTATATGCTACTGGCGACGAATGTTGGTTTTTTGATAATGGTCCTCCTTCTCTTTCGAGGCTACAAAGAGGCGATCATCGGCACATATAGCCGAGTGCAATTATCAGCGCGTCAAGCCTAATACAAGATTCATAATAGTCAAAAACAGAAATAACAAGTAATGCCGGACAATGAAGAATGAAACCGTATTTTCCAAGATCTCAATTAGATTGAAGCAGAATGAAGTTCGCAGTGACAAATAAGTGCTAGCTGTTGTTGATTTTGGTACTTTTGTAGCTCTGCGAACAAAGATTTGGCGTCATTGAATAAGTTGAGACGGCATTGCAAAAAACCAATTGTCATTTGGCATTCACCTTATCGTGGTGTGGGTACGGTTCAAAACACCTCAGTGAAAATCAAGAATGGTGTTTCTTGGTACTTCTAATCAATGCAAATGATAATATTAAACTACTATTACCTGGCTAGTGGAGAGTGCATAATTCATGCTGAACACGTTGTCCAGGAACGCAGACTGGATACCGTAATATTTGGACACCACGTACATGGCAAAAAGATGCCGATCGACACCGTAACCGGCCATTGCATTACGGTAATAGGTCTGGTGAGAATCGCATGCTTTTCGCAGCAGCGACAATCGCGTCTGGTCCTGAAAATGAGGAAATATAAAGTTAGAAAGTGCCCCTGTCGTCGGTAAGGCTGCTACGGTTTTCTCATAAGGCAAAATCTATAGTAGTTCTCTCTCTCAATGGTGAATTAATAGACTCACATCCTTAGTCTTATCAAGCATAGAGTTGACAAATTCGCACGAATGCATGCTGCAGCTCCGTACCGTCTCTGTCCGTCCTTCACGATACAATCGCATCACTGTTGGTTCGTATGTGAGTTCGAATTTTCCTTGATCCTAGAAAGCAGTGACTCTGTGATTAGCTACACCTCTTTTGGGGCGAAAGTGGTGAAGTGACGATCCTGGTTCACACTCGGTGCTATCCTCTACCTACCTTGTAATATGCCATTTGTATGGCCATCTGCAGAAACGCATCCGGAGAAACACCAATCTTCTTCATGAAGTCTTTGCCGTAGTCACGGAAAACACAGTGGGCATTCTCGAAGTCGTCGGCGACTCCTTTGGAGACTGAATACGCCTGTTCGATTGCGTCCAGTGTCTGAAACGATTACGGTAGAAGTGAAATCTCTTTGAGCTGAGATACTGGAATTTTAAAAAAGTACTTTCATAGCATAGTACAACGGCCGAAGCGGCGTTCCGCGTTAGAAGTGAAGTTACGCTAGAGTTCACGCTGAAATGGAGCTGGGGTACGGCCTACTTCACTTAGCTTTATCGCTACTTGTTCTACGCGATGCGATATACTTCATGAACCTCGGACATCTTCTAGTTCGAAATGGCCTCCTGGCTTTTCAAAATTTGCCAAAAATTCGCCCTTAAAGCAACAGTCCCAGCAGGGTGGGCGTGGTCGGAAACGGCTGCAATCCCCTCGGCCGATTCCCACTTCGGAGCTGTTCAGCCCCTAGTCAAGAACGTAAGAAGTGTGACTGAACAAAAACTCACCTTGGAAAGCCGCTAGGGAGGGAGCTGAAGTGGGCGTGGTCGGAATCGGCCGAGGGGATTGCAGTCGTTTCCGACCACGCCCACCCTGCTGGGACTGTTGCTTTAAAGCACGGTCGCGAATAAACCTTTTTTATTGAGCTATAAAT